CTGTCTCAGTACTTCCGCAGTAATGAGATCAGAACCTGGCGATTTTTTCAACTTCAGGGATCTTATCTCTTCCACAATTTCTAATTGAGTAAGTGGAGCTATGCTGTCTGCTTCATTTGCGATAGATTCTACTAAACTAACATCTGATGTTATTGCGTTAGGTGTGAATATGCTTTCCAAGTGATCAGCAAACAATTCGGCCTTCTCTATATTGCTCCTCGCCCAACTGCCATCTGCTTTCATCAGTGGCGGAGCGTGCCTAATCGGTTTCTTTTTGCTCTTTGCCGCCTTCCATAAGGAAAAATTCGTTTCCTTCGTAGCTGACAAGTTCTTTATATAATTTTCGTATGTTGCCGACTTAAATTCTTGGACAATTCTTAAATTCTTTTAAACACCTGGAAAAGTCTGTTTCAAACAGTCTTATGATTAAGGTGACGCGAACGTTGCCATCTACGTCTGGCCCTTCTTTTTTTACCTACTAAATCAGTTATTTGTCCAATATAGCTATTTGCTATCGGCTTGTACTTTGACATTTTTGTATTGTTCCATGCAGCTTTTTGTATGAATTTAATAAATCCTTCTAACATCTAATTGTTCTCTTGATTGTACATTAATATTTACGTCAATATTGTTTATTATTTCATATTTAAAGCTCGCCCAATCTGTAGTGCTATTTGTTAAACTGGGCCTAAATAACGTTTTAGTTATTTTTTCACTTAGTTTTAATACGACAGCAGTGATCCGAATTAAAATCATAGTTATCTTCAAGGCTTAGAAAGTTTTCTGATATTTCTTTGGGTTATAAAAAAAATAACATCAGGAATCTTGTTAGTGTTAGTAGGCCAATAAGTAGGAGTGCCAGTGGAATGATAGCAACAACCTAGCTCTTGAACCTAAGAAACTATGACAAAATTTTGCAAGAGTTGATACCCCTAGTAAACGATATTAACGATTATAAAACTGTCAAACCTCAGCTGCAATGCAAGTCGATTAAATAATAAACTCCATGACCAGAAGTAGAGGAATTCGTAGAATTCAAAATTTTATTAGTTGCATTGGGACATCTTGGGAATGGTTGAATGGGTTCCACGACTGAGATACTCCAAACCAGCAATCAACTGGCAGATAACACTAGTCAACATTACAGGATGAACAGCGACATCATATTAATTACCAACAGACTTATGGAACGATACATTCAGATATCAAAGCAATCTGGCAACATCAGCGAGCACAGATCCGAACAGATGATATTTAACAAGCTTTTAATAATCAAAAAAGCAATAAAGGAGAATTTGCAAAGGATTGTGAATACAAATTTAGTAGTGGCGAAATTTTTAACATACTGAGAGAAGTTAGCATGTTACCATATTCTAACGACATCGAAGCAATCGTATATGCGGAACAAAAAATGTTCTCCACATTCTTTCAAACTACTGTTCTCAACATTCTTACGTAATTCCACTACCAGAGGCAGACGAACACATATGCGATTATATATTGATTAACGAATGAAAGTCAAGTATATCTGGAGTACGAAGAACTGCTCGTTAATGCAGAGATTTATGGCGTAAAAGACAAATGGGAAATTTTGAATCACGTCACCATTTACAAAAAAAATGCATCCACAGTTTTGCAATCCGGACATTGTGTAACACAACTTATTAAAGAGCTCAATGCAAGCTGCGATTTTCAATACAACAGCAAGAAGATAATCGAGCAAATGACCGAGAATACGATCTTCTTTTTAAATTCCCATCGAGATGTCGTAACTAGTTCCACAACAAGGAATCTGTAAGGAAACTACTTCCTACAATATTCTAACGATACAATACACGTTAAGGAACTTACATTCATAAACAGCAGGGTAAGCAAGGGAAGCAGAGGCTACCAGCGTTTACAGCAGAGTAACATAAAAGAGGTAAGACAACTGGCAAAATCGCAACATAAACAAACTCAGTCATCATAATTACAGTAGTTTTATCGCTATTTTAGATCGTCATTTTCAGAAAGAAAAAACACAAGGAAAGAACACGATCAAATATTATGTTAAAACACGTTTAAACATATTTCTGTCGAATATATTTCATCGTGAGAATTTTCAACGCTAAAATATGTTCCTCCAAAAATATGGTGACAACATGTCTGACTACATGACTTAACTAAAAATTCTCACGACAAAAGTGACAATTTTTAGTTAATGAAAATCACAGGTTCAATTTGTTAAGTAAGCAAATATATATATACGAGGGTCACTATATATATTGCGGGTCTAGCAATAAAAAACAAACATTTATCATTGGAAATGGTTTTATTGTTTTTCAAAATTTCCCCATGAAGATCAATACACTTTTGCATGCGCTGAAACCAATTTTCGTAGCACTTTTTCCACTCCGATTGAGACACCTCCAAAACATGGTTTTTGAACGCATCGACTGCTTCTTCAGGTGTTGAAAATCGTTGTCCACGCATTTTTTTTTTGATGTGAGGGAATAAGAAGAAGTCATTGGGTGCTAAATCAGGACTGTACGGCGGATGACCCATCAATTCGACATTTTGAGTGCTCAAATAGTCCATTGTTTCAGCTGATTTGTGAGAGCTTGCATTGTCATGATGAAGAATAATTCGCCGGCGCTTGTTTGTTTTCCTTATTTCTTCGAAAACTTTCGGCAAACAGATGGTGGTGTACCATTCAGAATTGACCGTCCTACGTTCCACTAAAGGTACTGTGGCCACATGACCTGTTATACCAAAAAAAAACGCGATCATTTGCTTCGATGTGCTTCTTCCACGAACAACTTTTGTTGGATTTGGCTCGTCTTGGAACACCCATACGGTCGATTGCTGTTTCGTTTCGGGCTCATATGCATAGATCCATGATTCATCACCTGTGACTATCTTATAAACGTCTTTTGACGCACCGCGATTGAATTTTTTCAACATTTCTTTGCTCCAATCGACACGAGCCTTCTTTTGTGCAATCGTCAAATTTTTTGGGATCCATCGACAGCACACCTTTTTCACGGCAAGATGTTCATGCAATATCTTATGTACGCTGGTGGAACTAATGCCCAAGGATGCCTCAATCTCACAGTATGTCACATGCCGGTCCATCATTATCATTTCGCGCACAGCATCGATGGTTTCCGGCAAAACGACCGAAATTGGCCGATCTTCACGAAATTCATCCTGGAGCGAACGGCGTCCGAAACCAAACTCTTGGTACCAGCGATTTACAGTGGTTTTTGATGGTGCTTCATCACCAAAAGTCGAAACAAGTTGATCGAGACACTCTTGTCTCGATAATCCGCGCCGAAAATCGTAAAAAATCATCGCACGAAAATTTTCACGGGACAATTCCATTTTTTGACCGAGATGAATTTTTCAAGTCACTGTAAACAAAACAATTCGCGCTCGAATGACAAAACGTTCTGAGTGAAGTTGTCCTAAAAAATGTCAAACTTTCCAATGGAAGTGTCAGATTGCACCTGGCAGCACTAGTATTGCCAGGACCCGAAATATAAATAGTGACCTACGTATGTATTATTATAAATTTGATAAAACTTAGATGTGGAATTCAGTCGTAGACTTTTATTGTAATTGATAACTCAGAATTTCAAAGTATATACGAACCAGGGGATGGTGGTAACAAAACGGAGCTAACTGGAACGTACTGGACGCGCCGCATCAATCAACCACCCGTGGCTATGAAAGAAAATTAGGGGAATTATGTTGCATGCTTTTTATTAGATTTTAAAAAAGCGTTTAACTGCATTGAAAATGAAAATCATCTGTATATAGCTGCATGTGGCTATTTAAATCTTAAAATCGAATATTCGTTATTGTGAAGAATATTGTGAAAAGAAAGATAATTTGCTTTAAAAATAAGCGGTTTTCTAATTTTGTTGTAAAAACAAAATTAACGAGCCTGTAAAGCAATTTAGTTATCATAAGTTGGTTTTAAATTGTGGTCTAAAAATGAGAGAAAATAGAAAAAATGTAATTCAAAAAACATCGCCATACATTTTTATTTTCAAAAATGTTTACACTTGCTATCCAACAATGTATCATATTACTACTTGTTTAAAACTAATCACCAAAATAATAATTCCCTTTATAGGTACTTAAAGTTTTTAAGGCTTGCCAGGGGGAAATAAAAACTATTGCTTCTGTACGAAATCTTAAAAAAGAAATAAAAATGTAAATATGTTATTTCAAACAATAATAATGAATAAAAAGTATTTTACAAGATACATGAAAATTTCATGTATCTTGAAAAATATTTTATGTAAAATAAATATGTCGTGCAAGATAATATTTCATGTAAGATTTCATATTTTGGATAGTATTTTGAATTTTTATAAAAACTAATGAAATTTAAATAATTTAGAAGCCTGAATATAAGAATTCTAAAGTAAAACATAAGAGTCACAAATATAGAAAGTGAGGGGAATATTTTACTACTAGCTCTTTATAAGATCTATCCAAACAGTAATATAAATTTTAGTAGTGGTGCCTTACAGAAATTTTACTTCTTGTACGTTATTTTGTAATATTTATAAGACTTAAAACGTTATATTGTCCTCGGTTTTACTTGGAAAAAATTTATCAAAGTTGCTTATTGATGTTCGTTACTTGTAATCGATTAAAATATTATGTTAATTTTTAATATTATTTTACGAAATTTAAATGAACAAGATCAAAATAAATTTTGCAATACATTGCGACGTAATTTTCCCATTTATATCAAAGACATAACGGCAATGTTGGTAAGAAAATTCTTACACAAAGGAATTTTATCTAGTATAAATCTGATGACTTAAACTAAAAGCTGCTAACATCGAAAATTAAAAGCTGCTAGCACCGAAAAAATCGCCTGGAATTCCAAAATGTGTTTTAAGGATTTCACAAAAAATTTTCATACCGTTATTTATATCGTACTTGCTCTTAAACCACAAACCATCAAAATAATATTTATCTACATACATCTTATACAATACCTTGAACAGTTTTTCCAAGATACTTTCCATCTCGCTCCCACTCTATTACTTGTTTATAAATTTTTCCTGTTGTAATGTTATTGTCTCGATGCAAAGTAATGTCTAAAAAACGTTCATAATTTCCCAAATCCAAATCAACCTCTCCACCGTCGTCCAAAACATACACTTCACCTATTTAAGTAAAAATAAAATTAGTTGAAAATCTATGTTCTTTTAAAATAATCCGAGTTGAAAAAAAAGCAAAATAAACTTTTTAAAAGCTAGTTTAATGTAAAACAGTTCGACTAAAGCACCCACCTTAGTTTGTATAGAACGTAGTGTAAAATAAGTTTTGCTTAAATCAAAATTGGAACAATTTGAATAATTTTGATCAATATTTTTTAGGTTCTTTTCTTAATTGAAAATTTTCTTATTCTTGATATTGAATTCATTTATCACATACTTATATTATAATTTCGTTTGCTTAGCTAAATTTGCTATTAGATTTTAATTTTTTATTATTAAATAAAATTTGTGTTAATTAGTGTTAATTAACACTAAGTTGTAATGATTACATTACAACTTAGTGTTAATTAACATTAAAAATTAAAATTGAACTCATGTTTAATGAGTCGGCACAAAATGAGTAAATTTTTAAATTAATTTCGGTTATACATTATGTATTTGGAATTTACAACTTAGTTTGTTTTTTACTTGAATAAGTAATAAGCGTTTTCATAAACGCAGTAGGTATATCGCGATAAACAGTTACTGCTCTACATTCACGTTCATTATTGTTGCTTCCGTAGTTTGCTTATAAACATTGTTAAATTTCCGCAATATTGCGAAATTATTATGAGTAGCACAGTTAAATCATGTGAACTATTTAGATTTTATTAGCTAAAACGAGAAAAAATAGCGTTGACCATGTCAACTCTGTGAGGCCCGTACGAATTCGTTATCCCACGTGCGAAAAAATATGTCATAGCTGACTATGGGCCATGACTTTAAGTTGCCGTATTACCATATTAATTTATGCAAAATTTCAGTACTGTGTTTTCAATATGTTCTATGATATGGTCAAACTACGATTGAAGTTCTATGGCAGTTACCAGAAAGAGCCAAAAAAATTTAACAAATTTTATCAAACACATCAGCCCTACTAATACTATCGCTTGTGTGAAATTTCAATATCACAGCTTTTATTGTTCCTGAGATAATGCAAATTAACTTTAGAAGTTGTATGGCAGCTACCAGAAGGAACCAAGCAATTGCAACGACTTTAATCAAACACATTGGCCATACTAATATATTCACTTGTGTGAAAATTCAACATTACAGTTTTTATAGTTTCTGAGATATGCTCAAATAAATTTTGAAGTTGCATGGCAACTACCCGAACCAATACTCCAATCATATCCAATTTAAATAGGGTTCTGGCATTTACTATAATAAATCATTTGTGCAAATTTGGTGATTTTAGCTTAACTAGTTTTTGAGTTATCGTTGGGACGAACGGACGGACGGACAGACAAAGCTGAATCAACTCAGAATTCGACGCTGATCAAAAACATACACTTGAGTATATATCTCAGGACGTTATTTCTCAGTGTTACAAACGGTAAATTTAGTATAACCTTCGAACATACGTTTTTTTAAGTTGTATAAAAACATTTGCCATTATAGTGTTCATGAACAAAAAATATCGTTAACAAAACAAATTTATTTATTTTGGGGCAAATAGTTGAAAATTCTATTTCAGGAAAAATAAAAATTAGGAAAAACAAAAAAAGAAAACTGAGACAAAAAGAAATTTTGTTATTTTTAAGTACAACAATTCACAGACGAATTCTAAAAAAAACTGCAAAAATTAGTAAATAAGAAACGTACAGCTGATAATTTAAATCTAATAATTTTAGCCATGATAATTTAAATATTTTTGTGATAAGTTAGCAATGTTTATGAACAAACTTGATTGGCAACATTTGTTTATAAACGCAAATATAACGCAACTCTCGCTATATGTCGCAATATACTGACTGCGTTTATGAAAAGGCCTATTGCATTATGTTTTTGCAGCATAACACTTCGCAGTTAAATTAATAAAAAATATTGCTAAAAAGAATATAAAAAGGATCATTTTTGTCGTTTTCCCTATCGGAGATTCAAAGGAATATGATCTGAAGGAAAGACCTGAAAAATATATTTAAAAGACATCCAATCTAGCGTACAATTTTTAAATATAAAAAATTTTACGATTTTCAGATTTTTGGCAGACCCATCAATTGAGATTTTTTTTAAATTCTGCTATACATCGAAATATTAAAACAAAAAAATAGAAAAAAACGAGAAAAAATAGAAATAGAGTTGAGTTATGTGCGAATAAAGATGCCATGACTGACAATGGGACAGACTATGACTTTAAGTTACCGTATTACCATATTACTCGTAATTTATGCAAAATTTCAGTACAATATGTTTTTCAAAAAACTGTGTGTGCCAAACTACTATTGAAGTTGTATGGCAACTACCAGAAAGAGCCAAGAAATTTTAACGAATTTTATCAAGCACATCGGCCCTACTAATATATTTGCTTGTGTGATATTTCAATACTACAGCTTTTATAGTTTCTGAGATATAGCCAAATAACTTTTGAAGTTGTATGGCAGGTACCAGAAGGAGCCAAGTAATTTCAACAACTTTTATGAGACACGTTGGCCCTACTGTCTATTGCATTTGTTCACGTTTTTTTCAATAGGCTGTAAAACGTCCGACTCCAACCAGTGACCTACCGCTTTCTAGGCGGACGTTCTACCAACTCAGCTACAGAGGCATGAAGAAATTGCCGACGAAATGTTCTCTACATTGCTTATACTGTAATTCCCATGATTACTAAGTATTTGTTTTGTTTACATTGATTGTTACATACAATCTACTATTGAAACACACAATAACAAGAACATATATATTTATAGGATTGTGCCTATTGCACTAATTAAATTATGAATTTTACTAATACAACATCATAGTTGCGAATTAATAAGAATATGCTTATTACACTAATAATTTAACTTAATGGAAATTTCTTCATGCAACTGTAGAACAGATGGATGACGTAATCAAAGGAACGAGTTAAAGGCAGAAAAATTAATAAAAAAATTTTTCTCCTCGAACTGGACTCGAACCAGTGACCTACCGCTTTCTAGGCGGACGCTCTACCAACTGAGCTACAGAGGCATGAAGAAATTGCCGACGAATCATGTGAATTACAGTATAAGCAATGTAGAGAACATTTAATAAGAATTAATTCGCAACTATGATGTTGTATTAGTAAAATTCATAAATGAATTCATTTTATCCATATATGTATATAGAAATACGACTTTTTTTTGCTAGTTTTATGATCGAACTATTTGCTGATACATTATACAAATTCTGCTTATCTATAAATTTGTTATGAATTAAGGTATAATGTCTTTTGACATTTCTAGCTAGCTTTCCTTTTAACGCCTTGTTGCATTCTAAACATTTCGAAATATTACTACATTTATCGTAACTTACTAGAAATATTAGAAATATCGAAGCTCTTACGACGCCCTTTTGCAAATTAATATTTTTAAAACATTATTTTGCAAATTGTGAAAATTTTAAAACATTTACTTTACAAATTCTTCAAAATAGCTTTACAATTGAAAATTAATTTTAAACTGAACATTAATTTTTAAAGCATTTACACTTATGTTTTACATTATGATTTATAACAAATTAAACCAGTTTGACTGCTTTTATTTTTGAAGTAAAGTTGGACCAAACCAATGGTTTGTAAAGTAGAATTTTTATCTTCAGCAAGTGAAAATAGCTTTTAGAAACAATTTTCTACATTTTAAAATACGTTCAACCCTTGTACCTTTGAATTACGTGTAACCCTTGAATTAAAAATAAAAAAAATCTGATGTGGTCAGCACATAACCGACCGCATTGTGTATTGTCTAGTTAAATGAAAGTGTTACAGAATATTATAAAAATGTCTGTTAAATACTTCTTTCCAATTTTTAGAACATTAGTAAGCTTATAGTTAACATACTTAGAAAAATGTAAATTTGGCTCTTAGTAGAGTTTCGCTTTGTGCTACCCGAATTCCCTGAAATGCTCGCCAGTTAGTTTCGGTAACCAGAACTCAAATATCAAATTTCAAGAAATTCCATCAATTTGTTCTGTGGATATGGTGAAAAATTTAAAATCGGCCCGCAAATCAGTTCTCGAGCCCTGATCTTTCCAAAAAATTTACATGTTCATTGTTTTAATACGAGGAGTTCATATATTAAATTTCAATGAAATCGGTTGATTATTTCTCTTTATATACACAAAAATGTATATTTGGCCCGTAGTAAACGTCTAGTTGCCGATGCCTGATTTCTTCCAAAACATACGAATTTTTGCGGACGGTCGAGCTAAGCTTATATATAAAATTTCAAGTAAATCAGTTGAATATTTTCTTCAAAATGTTCAAAAATGTAAAACAGGCCCGCTAAAAAGTGCAGTTCCCGAGGCCTGATATATACCAAAAGTTGATCGATCCGTGCCATGGTGGAAACAAACTTACATATAAAATTTCATCAAAATCGGTTCAGCCGAACTTGAGATACACGCGTGCACACACAGACCGACAGACGGACAGACCGACAGACCGACAGACCGACAGACCGACAGGTTGCTAAAAATAGTTTATTTACACTTCCCTACTATGGAGAAGTACGTTCCCACCGAAAACTCGATATGCAAAATTTGTTGCCATCACATAACCTACCTATTGTTTACACAATACGGTCGGTAAAAACATAGAAAGGCGATAACATAAAGATCGAATTTAAGGTTTAATTGCATAAGTTAAGAAAAATAATTATATTTTTACCTGTCCGTTGACAGAGTGAAACTAAACATTTTATTTTAAATTTTTTTGGAAGAAAATAGTTATGATATTAATAATAATAATTTCATAATTAGACACTTATTTATTCACTTCAAGTAAATCGCAACTTTACACTTTATCAGGTCAGTAGAAAAATTATAAGAGTAACAGTTTTATCATTCGTGAATTTTATTTTTAATGAAAAATTTATTTATCTTATCATGAATGATATTTTGGATACATTTTTATCACTCAAGAATGAAAAAATTATAGGAATAAAAATTTCTTCATTCATGAATGTTATTTTTAATAAAAAATTTATTTTTCTTATCATGACATTTTGGTTAAATTTTTTTCACTCAAGAATGGAAAAAAGATATGAAAAATTTTATCATTCATGAATGTTATTTTAACGAACTCTGTATTAAATTTTTATACTTAAGTAAATGAAAGTAAGTAAATAAGTCTGGCAAAGTGAAATTTCATATTTCATATTCGATTTATTAGTTTAATTATTTGTAGAAAAGTATAAAAAAATAAACCTACAGAAAAAACAAAATATAATCATATAGAAAAAAAATCTGATGTGGTCAGCATTGTGTATTGTCTAGTTAAATGAAAGTGTTAGAGAATATCATAAAAATGTCTGCTAAATACTTTCAATTTTACAATTCGTTCCACAGATATGGGGAAAAATGTAAAATCGGCCCGCAAATCAGTTTTCGAGCCCTGATCTTTCCAAAAAAGTTATATGTTCGTTGTTTTAATAAGAGGAATTCATATATTAAATTTCAATGAAATCGGTTGATTATTTCTCTTTATATACACAAAAATGTATATTTGGCCCGTAGTAAACGTCTAGTTGCCGATGCCTGATCTTTCCAAAAAATTTATATGTTCATTGTTTTAATACGAGGAATTCAAATATTAAATTTCAATGAAATCGGTTGATTATTTCTCTTTATATACACAAAAATATATATTTGGCCCGCAGTAAACGTCCAGTTGCTGATGCCTGATTTGTTCCAAAAGCTAGAAATTTTCACGGACGGTCGAGCAAAGCTCATATATGAAATTTCAATTAAATCGGTTGAATATTTTCTTCAAAATGATGAAAAATGTAAAATCGGCCCGCAAATCAGTTTTCGAGCCCTGATCTTTCCAAAAAATTTATTAAATTGAAATCAATTTTTCAAAGGTTTATTAACACTACCTTTTATAAATGTAAACAATAGTAAAGTAGAAAAAAATTGAATTTTAATTTTTCTAATTAACCTTCCATAAGAATACGTGTAAATTCGTCAGCTGTGAACTGTCACTTTCCCTGAGGTTTCAGGCCTATATTTTTGTCAGCCGTGGTTAAAAACAAATGATAAAACGAAAAAAATTATGCTTATGTATGTATGTACATATGTATGTATGTATGTATGTATGGACAATAGGATACTTATTTGCAATATGAATATTTTTGAAAACTAATATGATACTTAATGTTTATTAAATTGTCAAGAATTTTTAAGTGCCGATCTAATGCAATATTCATATGAAAAAAGAGATATTGAAAGTCAGGAAGCAAAAATTAAAGAAAATTGTTTCAATTTACTGTAATAAGTACAATTATAGGTATGATTCAATAAGTAAACAAAAAAGTACCTACATAAAATGTATGTATGTATATAGATTCCCCATACCAATTCTGATTTTATATATGTACGAAGAATAAACCTACAAGATTTAATTAGAAGTAAATCAGAAATGACGTACTCGCATTTCTATATTATGTTATATTGCAGACGTATATTACTCTTAAAAAAGATCTTTAAACATTCCTTTGAACTTTAATGTTAATAATTTTCTTAAAGTAGAAAATTTTATGTATTAAAATAATTCGCACACCGTGTGCATAGGGCGGAAATTTTCATTATCGAGTAGGTAGGTACATTAATATACGGATATATTTTAATAGACGTTAGAACAATTTCACATAATTTCGAGAGCACCAAAGCTGCTAGCAATAAACATTTTACAACTACACTAATAACGCCTTCTACAACTAAGATGCACATGTATTTCATAATTTTCTGTACTATTTGATTTCGGATGGTGGACATGGTTTATATTGTATGTTATAGACGTTTCTCTGCTCATTCGTAATTCGTATAAACAAAATACATTCATTATGAACTTTTTGGTTTCCTTCACGGAACTCATTTAAGTTTTAATAAATAATGAGCCTAAACTTAGAAGGCTTAGTACCGAGCAAGTCAGAAATGTTATGCACTAGCATTTTTATGTGTATTATGTAGATTTCAGAATACCTACGTATAAACACGTGGAAAAATTTTATTATGTACATACATATTGAAATACAAAATTGTTTCACATACCGTGTTCATAGGGGGAAAAAGTTCCGGCATCTATATTAATATACGGATCTATTTTAATTGATGTCACGTCAATTCCACAAGATTTCAAAAGAGTACCAAAGCTGCTAGCAATAACGCCTTTACCGACACCACTTATAACACCTCCAGTAACTAAGATGTATTTCATAATTTTTCTTATTTTATTCCAAACTATAGTTTATATTGAATGGTATCGTGACGTTTATCTGCACAATATTGTAATTCGTATAAACAAAATACGCTCATTAATTTTTTATTCCCCCTTGCCAGACACAATTTAGCATACAAGTCAATTAAGTTTTACAAGCAAAAAGTCTTAAGTTAGTTTTAAAAACTCGATTAGAAAATATATGAATTACTTTTTGACAAAATTGAAGTACGCATGTGTATTACGTATTGGGCTATTGGTGTTATACGCAAAAATTGGTACGACTTGTCAAAAAAATTAATAATAATTTTTCGTGAAAAAAACGCTCTCACGAGCAGTGTTGTCATTCTTACTACAATTGTACTTTCTTACTACATTTTGACTTTCTATACTACAATATTGCAAAGCCATTTTTACTATCTTATTGCTTTTATACTAGAAAATTGCATTAATGTTTTGTATTTATGTATATATGAAAATGTCAAATTTAATGTTATAAAAATGGAATTCGCACTAAAAAAACTAAACTTGGGGCCCAATTATTATAAATCTTACCGCCAAAGAAACGTCAAATGTTAAGATTTCATATCAGTCCGCGTCGAAATATATTACATACTATTTATTATATATATTCTTATTATATATTATATTTTTCTTCCTTTAATACATTATAAAAATTTAATTCAGTTGTTGTTCTCATTTAAAATAAAAAAAATTATCAAATAATTGTTTTCATGACCGAAATTTGATTTGAAATTAATTTTAAACAAATAACTGATTTCAAAAAGCGTGTGTAAATTTCGGAAAACCACGGTTTCCACGCGTTTTACTAGGCTCTTAATCTTTTATCCTTAAATTTCGAGTTTTCTATAAAAGTAGTATACTATAAGAAAGCACAGTATCAACAAATGATCCAAAGTATAAAATTCTTCATCAATTATTTAAAATTATAAAAAAACTTTTTTATTTATAGTAAAAACCTAATAACCACATAAAGTTACATATGTATAACAAATTTTTGACAATAAATGTCAGACTATGCCATTGAAACTGACTGACTGATTACTGAGTTAAAATTCAATATGGATTCGTGAACAAGGCTGCCCCTCAGGAAAAACCTTCAAATCCAATGCGAAGAATATAGGAGATTACTAAAAGAAAATGGAAGCAATTGTATTATGGAAGGAGACTTTAACTCAAAAAGTACCTTTTGGGGTTCAAGACTCACGACTCCTAACGGTGAAGCTTTTTATAAAGCTGCCATTGGATTAAAGTGCTCGTGTCATTCAACGGGAAAACCAATCTACTGGAATTTTGATCCTAACAGCATTCCTGATTTATTGGATCTTTTCATAACAAAAGGAGTATCTGATAATATTTTGTTTCTTTCTTGCCTACACAACTCTTATTACCATCTATTTCTAAATAAAAATGGAATATTTTAAGAATTTGGGAGCAAAATGCAAACGAAAACTAACGGAATGGAACGAGTCGAACTATTTATTATAGATATACTTTGTCAAAAACATGGAACTGAAATAAAATTAAATTAAAATAGTAAAAAATTTTGTTATTTTTATTTTGATAACAAAAATTTTTTTTCATATTTTATTTTTCATTTCACAAATGTTAGGTAAAAACATTCGAATGTATGAAAGTAATAGTTATAAATTTAAAATTTCATACTTTGTTATACGGTACATACCTATTCAAGGTAGATACACAATATAAAAAAAGCCTGTATTCATACGTAGACTTGGGGAGGGAAGAATTCCATCAGTAAAACAAAATGATGGACTAGAGCTTATAAAACTTCCAAATATTCCATTTGAAACATCCGTTGAGAAATTAATAAGCTTTGTATTTCCTAGAAATATAATTGAAAACTGTGAATTAGTGCAGTAAACGAGCGATATTGTCTGGTACTAATGTCTGTGTAGGGGAAATAAATAAGAAAGTATTAGAAGTATTGCCAGGAAATCTGTATCATCTATACAGTGTTGACTCTTCACTCCTTCCCCATAGTACCGACCCAGCGCATCATTTAGGCCCGGAAATCTTAAATTCTGTTACACAACCAGGAGTGCCCGACCATGACTTAGTTTTAAAGAAAGGGGCGTTAATTATTCTTATAAGAACTTTAAACTTCTCTGAGGGATTAGTAAATGGAACCAAATTGATTGTAACTAAAGTTACTGTTCCGTCATGACGTCACAGTTAATTTTTCTCCTTTCCTAAAAAGAAAACAACAAAAAAAAAAACACAAAGAAACACTACTTGATATAAAGGAAAATTTGTGATACTTATCTAAATTTGCTATAATCCAGTGTAATCCACTCAGCGGGTTTTTGTTCTTCACCTAAAATTGAATATATTGGATTAAACATGTAATCTTATTTGCAATAAAATACTTACATGAATTTGCAATGTCTTCCAGCTATGCATCTACCAGTCCAGATAGGATTTTCAAGTGCCGGTCCAGCACTTTTTGGTTGCTCTTCACTCCTCCATCGTTTTCTCCTTCCATTTCTGCATTTCCTTTTGGGCTCCGGCTCCTTTAAATCTCCATTTTTTTTGTATATAAAATTTTTGATTTTGCTTTCTTTAAAAAACTTGTACTTCACTTCACAATATAAATAAAACTGGTGGGTGACAGTTTGCAGCGATCATTTCTGCACAAACATTATATTTCAATGCTGCCAACTGTCACCTATGATCATAGACGAGTTTGTTTAGAGTTATAGTCAGCTATTGATGGAAGTGTAATGGAGTAAAAAAAAATAGAAGGTTAATGAAATGGAGAATGGAAGGGGAAAATAGCATAAAATAGAAAAGAAGAAACGTAGAATTTTACAACAACAATTTGTATTGCGATGTATATAAGAATGATACATTGCATTACAGGTTCGTTGAACTATACCATATGATCTATGTAAAAGAAAAGAAGAAAACGTTAACAACCGAAAAGTGGGACTGGCTAGGAACACCTTCACCGTTTGCTCAACCGCTGGTTCCAGAAATTATAAAAGGGACAAAATCATCAAGAAGAAGTACTACTAATAGAAGATCGCTAACCGCAACATATCGACTTTCGAGTTATACATTTTTTGTCAAAATTAATATAATTTTTTTGAATTATATAATTGAAACCGAAAGAAAGTATTGTTAAACAAAGATCATTTTTTTGAATTATATAATTTCAACTTTTGTATACATAACTTTTGTATTGTGAAATAATTTGAAGAAAAAAAATTTGTATTAATTTGTATTGTGAAATAATTTGAAGAAAGAAAAAAAAAAAATTGAAGAGAAAGAAGATATAACATATATATATAAACATATTTATTTAGTAAATTTTTTTTTAAGAAAAAGAGAACATAATTTTTTTTGGATTAGGTGCTTTCTATAATAAACTGAGAATAATAAAGAAAAAAACTTATCTTTTATTTAAATATTTTAAAAGTGTTAGCAATTATTCGCGAACATTTTTTGGTCCTTCGAGCCGGATATTTTTTAAAGGCAAATTTGAATTTAGAAAACTTGGTTTTTTTATTGTAAAATTAAACTTATATACTTTAAATGAAGAACGGTGTTGTGTAATAAATTGGTGTTAAAATAGACCATAGACAAAGGTGGTAGTGCGATATATATATAAAAAACAAAAAGGGAAACAATTAATAGTGGTATAAGTTTGAAAAAAAAGGTGGTGCTTAAAACATTCAAAAAAAAAATATTAATGAACCATTATATATTTAAATTTTGTTGCAAAGGAACAGTGTAAAATATTAAGATTTACAAACATTAAAAAAAAAAAATATATAAGAAGGGAACATTGTGTTTTTTTTTGTGTGAATTTTTTGAAGCTGATAGTGCAAAACGGTTTCGGTATCGGTTCGCGTTTCGCGCCAATGGAATAGGCGGAGTAAGTGGTTCTGGAGTAAGTGGCTGGCTAACAGAAAATTAAGTAAGTCCGTTCCAATTTTTTAAAAAAAAAAACATATTTTCTTCTTTTTGTTGAGGTTTTGGTTGAAGATTTTATTATATATTTGTTCAACCATTTTTAATGAAGTTGGATTGCTTGTGTGGTGTCTAATTGATTTGTGGACATTGTTTTTTTTGGATGGATGGAATATAGTTATTTATATTTTTGAGGCAACAGATTATTTGAAAAAAAAAATAAGAAAGAAGATTTTAAGGTTGAAGGTATCTTGTGCGATTTGATTGGAACGCGGTAATAATTATAATTGCAATTACAAAAAAAATTAATTAAAGGAACATAACTTTATCATTAATGGTTGCACATATTACTAATCTAACATTCAACAATATTTTAAGATTATTAATTCGAACAATAGAAGCGTTGTTTTTCGCGCGGGGATTCCGTTTTTAAAAAGTGAATTTATGAGTTAACAACTTTTAATGCAAGAATTGTGCAATAAATTGATTGAAAGTGTTGTATGAAATAAGTGAATTGTAATAAATTAAAATTAATTTAATACTGTACGGTATCGATTATTTTTCGGTAAAGTTGTAAAAAAAAAAAATATATAACTTTGTACAAAGCAAAAATTGACTGAATTCTTGAATAAAATTGTTCGTTTGATTAATAATAAGCGTTTCTTTTTTTATTGCCCGTATTCGTTTACTTTTGTATTTTGTTCCTTTTACATTAACGTAAAAGGATATTTTCGTGACACACCTGTTTTTTTTGAAAGTATATACAATGGACAAATTAATTAAGCTTCAATTAGCGGACAAGTTTTTGATCGAGGAAATAGTCTCACATTTTCTTGATGACACACGTGAAAACAAGCCAAAGGCGTTTTACAAAGAGGCTCTAGATGACATAGGGGGCCTGTATGCGGAGCTGAAGAAGAGGCATAGACAAATATTGGTTGCATCATACACTGAAAAAAATGCGGACAATGTAAAGTACGCTTACTTGGAAAATAGCGTTTTCAACGAAATAAAAACATTTTATCAACATAAACATCAAATGATAGAAGCTGAAATGAAAACCAAATTCCCAGAGAGACCACCGGAGCTAAAGATGGACCCAAATCAAAGTGTAAGCCAAAGGGTGGATGTTCCCAATATTTCAATAAATTTGCCAAAAATCACCTTGGCAAAATTTGACGGCGATTATCAAAAGTGGCCTTCGTTCTATGATCTTTTTAAATCTTTGGTCCATAATAATGAGATGATTCCAGCGGTCCAGAAATTACAGTACCTCAAATTGCACCTTCCCGGTGAACCAGAGCATTTGTTGAAAGCCTTTCAAGTAACAGAGGGTAATTATGCTGCCGCATTCAACATGTTGAAAGAAAGATATGACAACAAGCGAGTATTAGTTAATACTCAACTTAAATTGCTACTCAATCAAAGCTTTGTAAATCAGGAGACGGCTACGGCAGTTAAAAAATTACTGGACACTACTAATGAATGCTTACAGGCATTAAAGAATCTACAAATAGATGTGGAGGGCTGGGACATCAGCTATGGCGGGTGAAATTTCGTCATCGGCGCCAGCATTCGTACCCGGCAGCAACAGCCATGTTCACACTTGCGGCACATCGGATGCACACACACGACAGGTTCTACTGGCCACTGCGTGCATTAAAATAGTATGTCCAGCAGAGTTCCTTCATCACCGAATCAGCGGTTCAGACTTTGAAATTACGAAAAAACAGAACAATAACAAATATACACGGTGTATCAGAAAGCAACATCGGCCAATCACTAGCAAAAGTGGATGTCATCATACGAGATCTAGGGGATTCCAGGCAGGTGCGAACTTCGGCATTGGTTCTCAAGAAACTGACCAACTTGCTACCAGAGCGTAATATTCAAACCAAGGAGTGGTCACACATAGACGGATTGATCCTAGCTGATCCAAGTTATTTTGCGATGGGAAAAATAGATGTACTCATCGGAGCAGACATTTTTGGCCAAATTATTTTGGAGGGACTAAGAAAGGGTCTCCCTGGTGCACCAATTGCTCAAAAAACTATTTTTGGATGGATCATAACGGGCAATGTCGATCAACAAAGTGTCAACACGACATCAATAGAGACGTTCCACATCCAATCCGATTTAGATGATAGTATCAGAAGGTTCTGGGAGTTAGAAGAAGTACCGGAACAAACAATATTTACAGAAGAGGAATTATTGTGTGAAAAGCATTTTTCTGAAACATTTCGTAGACTTGAGGATGGACGCTATCAGGTTGAGTTACCTTTTATACCAGATGAGCGTCCCATATCACTTGGAAGTTCGAGACACATTGCGATTGCCAGGCTTTTCGGCATGGAGGAGCAATTTTCAAAAAATGAGGTATTGAAAGACAACTACAACAAGTGTATAGCTGAATATTTGGAGATGAACCATATGGAGCAAGTGAATTCAATGGAATTAAAAAATCAACGACAACAAATCATCTCGAATTATTTGCCACATCACGGCGTCATAAAGGAAAGTAGCTCAACTACAAAACTACGAGTGGTTTTTGATGCATCACGGCCTACTTCAAATGGTTCATCATTAAATGACAAAACATTAAAGGGCCCGGTCATACAAGATGATTTATCTACTCTTCTATTACGTTTTCGAAAATATAAAATTGCATTTACAGCAGATTTGGAGAAGATGTATAGGCAAATCCGAATCGCACCGCAACATGCCGATTATCAAAGGGTAGTCTGGAGAGATTCTCCAAGTCAATCGATTCGGGACTACAAATTAACTACAGTAACATTTGGTACAAAATCAGCACCGTTTCTAGCAACACGAGTATTAAAACAGTTGGCGATAGATGAAAAGGTAAACTATCCTATTGCATCAAGAATAACGTTGGATTCATTTTATGTGGATGATCTGCTGTCGGGTGCGGATTCTATCGAAAAGGCATTGGAAATGCAAAAACAATTATTGAACATGATGACTTCTGGTGGATTCTCATTGCGCAAGTGGTCATCAAACGCAGCTGAGCTACTAGAAGCCCTTTCACAAGAACATCGAGAAATCAATTGGCCTTTAAAAATTGAGGAAGCTGAAACCGTCAAAACATTGGGCATGCAAAGGGATCCAGCAAACGACCAATTTTCGTATAAAATTTTCCTACTGAAAAATTATCCACAGAAATGGACAAAGCGAACAATATTGTCGGAGGTTTCAAAACTATTCGATCCTCTCGGCTGGTTGGCACCTTGTATCATTATAGCCAAGATAATGATACAAAAATTATGGCTTTTGGGTTCACTACGTATAAACAGGTGGTTCTACTATTCAACATCGGCAAATAAAATAGAATTACATGAATTTTGTGATGCCTCGATAAAGGCGTATGCTGCGGTGGTCTACCTGGTTGTCATAGACGAAGAGGGAGGCCGAAAAACTAGCATGTTAACTGCAAAATCAAAGGTAGCTCCGATAAAGACAATATCTTTGCCGCGACTAGAGTTGAGCGGCGCAGCATTATTGGCGAAACTTATGAAATATGTCCAGCGAGTATTGAAAATTCAAAATATATCGAAGGTGCAAGCTTGGACGGATTCAGAGATCGTGTTGGCTTGGTTGCGGGCTCACCCGAGCAAATGGACCACGTTTGTAGCAAATCGGACCGCTGAGATACATCACACATTAGGCAAAAACATATGGCGTCACGTGCCCTCAAAGGAAAACCCAGCAGATTGTGCTTCACGGGGAATGCATCCACCAGATCTTATAAACTTTAAAATGTGGTGGAACGGCCCAGAATGGTTACAGAAATCGGAGTCACACTGGCCAATTAAAACACTACTCCAAGATACGGATAGCGAGATACGAAAATCGACTCTGTGTCACAACACGATCATAAATGATAAAGAATGCAACGAGATTCACGAATTGGAAACACGATATTCATCATTTACGAAACTCATCAATGTAACGAGTTACATCAAAAGATTCATCGCCAAAGTAACCGAGAGAAATCTAAATTGCAATACATTCATATCGGTGTCAGAATTTAACGCTAGCGTGGAGATGTGGATACAAATAGTGCAACATAAACATTTTTTACAAGAAGTGACACAATTGCGGAAAAAGAAACTTATTCATACAAACAGTCGTTTAACGAGGCTTAATCCTTTTCTGGATCAAAATGGAATATTGAGAATGGGTAGCAGATTGCGACACGCAGATTTGAATTACAATGAAAAATTTCCGATTATATTGCCCGATAGAAGTCATTTTATGCGACTACTTTTAGAAAAAATTCATCGCGAAACTTTGCATGGTGGTGCTCAACTTCTGCTCAACGTAATAAATAGAAAGTTTTGGATAATTGGTGCACGGAATCAAATTCGACAACAAATACATAAATGCGTCACGTGCTATCGACAGCGGGCTGCAGTTCAAAAACAGCTTATGGGGGATTTGCCTGCTTTTCGAGTTAGGGCTAGTCGGCCATTTACACATACTGGCGTTGATTATTGCGGGCCATTTGAACTGAGAACTCATAAAGGCAAAAATACAAGGACATATAAGGCGTACATATCTATTTTTATATGTCTTGCAGTTAAGGCCATACACATCGAGCTGGTCACGGACCTTAGCAGCGAGGGATTCATCGCAGCATACAGAAGATTCAGTAGCCGACGCGGCAGGTGCGAGTTACTCTATTGCGATAATGGTACTAATTTTGTCGGCGCTAGCAAAGAGTTTGCAAAGCAACATAAACAGATGTTACAACAATTAAAATCAGAATTAGCACAAGTACACGAACGTGAGGGGGTGGTTTTCAAATTCATACCACCTGGTTCACCTCACTTTGGCGGATTATGGGAGGCTGGTGTCCGCTCTACAAAGCAGCATCTTAAAAAGATACATATGAGGAGGACATATGAGGAATTTTCAACGGTCCTAACTTAGATTGAGGCTTGCCTAAACTCTAGACCTCTCTGTGAAATTAGCAGAAATCCAGACGATTGCACGGCCCTAACACCTGTTCATTTCCTGACTGGTGATGTATTTATTACACCACCTGAACCTTCTTTGCTGGATTTAAATGAAAATAGATTAAACAGATGGCAACTATTGCAAAAATTGCATCAAACCTTTTGGACACTTTGGAGTAAAGAATACCTATACCGATTGCAGCAGCGTCCAAAATGGACTAAAAGGACTGACAACATGAAAATTGGTGCTTTGGTTTTACTTAGGGACGAGAAGTTGCCACCAAGCAGATGGTTGATGGGTCGAATAACAGAAATTCATCCTGGTTCCGATGGACTTGTTCGAGTTGTTACACTAAAAACAAAGGATAATATGTTGAAGCGTTCGATCGCAAAGATATGCTTACTACCAGTAGATACGATGGAAAATTATGATGAAACCGAAACGCAATCAATCGAGACCGATTAATCGCATTTTTTTGAGAAACAAAAAAAAAATGTATCGTTATCTAATCGTACGCAACTGGCACTACACTTAATACGCAATAAAACGAAAAAAAAAAAACTAGAAGAAATCGCGCAACCTAACGTTACCGAGTTGCACCTTACATCGCACTACCTAATAACACCTAACTTGCGCTACTTAACGATAAAAAAAAAATTAGAGGCACCTATTACAAACATTTCTAACCTACGCTTAAATTTAACTTAAAATTTAAAATTAGTAACACTTAAATTAATTTGTTAGTTAACTTATTACTTATAGATTTTTTTTCTTTATCCTAATTCTTCCCACTTCCTGAATTTCCGGAAAGCGAGATAAAGCGCTATAACTTCTTCCTTCTATCCCTCTGCTCTTCTCGTTTCAGGTGAAGACCTAAAAGGAACATAACTTTAGTGATGGGTACAACTTGCATTTGGAACGTTTAATTGAAACTTGAAAACTTACCAATTATCATCACAATATGGCTAATTCGGTATCAATATCACTGTTCACCAGCAACACACCTTTTATGCTCCAGCAACCCGTCAGCACGTCACTGTTTTGCCATCTTTCAACATTGATGCCAAGGCCGGGAGAATGTTCCGTCATGACGTCACAGTTAATTTTTCTCCTTTCCTAAAAAGAAAACAACAAAAAAAAAAACACAAAGAAACACTACTTGATATAAAGGAAAATTTTTGATACTTATCTAAATTTGCTATAATCCAGTGTAATCCACTCAGCGGGATTTTGTTCTTCACCTAAAATTGAATATATTGGATTTAACATGTAATCTTATTTGCAATAAAATACTTACATGAATTTGCAATGTCTTCCAGCTATGCATCTACCAGTCCAGATAGGATTTTCAAGTGCCGGTCCAGCACTTTTTGGTTGCTCTTCACTCCTCCATCGTTTTCTCCTTCCATTTCTGCATTTCCTTTTGGGCTCCGGCTCCTTTAAATCTCCATTTTTTTTGTATATAAAATTTTTGATTTTGCTTTCTTTAAAAAACTTGTACTTCACTTCACAATATAAATAAAACTGGTGGGTGACAGTTTGCAGCGATCATTTCTGCACAAACATTATATTTCAAAGCTGCCAACTGTCACCTATGATCATAGACGAGTTTGTTTAGAGTTATAGTCAGCTATTGATGGAAGTGTAATGGAGTAAGAAAAGAAATAGAAGGTTAATGAAATGGAGAATGCAAGGGGAAAATAGCATAAAATAGAAAAGAAGAAACGTAGAATTTTACAACAACAATTTGTATTGCGATGTATATAAGAATGATACATTGCATTACAGGTTCGTTGAACTATACCATTATGATCTACGTAAAAGAAAAGAAGAACACGTTAACAACCGAAAAGTGGGACTGGCTAGGAACACCTTCACCGTTTGCTCAACCGCTGGTTCCAGAAATTATAAAAGGGACAAAATCATCAAGAAGAAGTACTACTAATAGAAGATCGCTAACCGCAACATATCGACTTTCGAGTTATACATTTTTTGTCAAAATTAATATAATTTTTTTGAATTATATAATTGAAACCGAAAGAAAGTATTGTTAAACAAAGATCATTTTTTTGAATTATATAATTTCAACTTTTGTATACATAACTTTTGTATTGTGAAATAATTTGAAGAAAAAAAATTTGTATTAATTTGTATTGTGAAATAATTTGAAGAAAGAAAAAAAAAAAAAAAATTGAAGAAAAAGCAAATATAACATATATATATATAAACATATTTATTTAGTAAATTTTTTTTTAAGAAAAAGAGAACATAATTTTTTTTGGATTAGGTGCTTTCTATAATAAACTGAGAATAATAAAGAAAAAAACTTATCTTTTATTTAAATATTTTAAAAGTGTTAGCAATTAATTATTCGCGAACAGTTACCAAAATTTTATTGGAAGCCCAAAAACCTTATAGTAACATTAAACATTTAATACCCCGAATCAATTTCAAATTCTCCATAGGGTGCCAAGGTATGGAAATGATACGACGTCAATTTCCGATTAAATTAGCTTATGCAATGACTATTAATAAATCACAAGGTCAAACACTTTCTCGCGTAGGAATTGATTTGAGAAATGATGTTTTTTCTCATGGGCAACTATACGTAGCATTGGGGCGAGCCAGAACTAGAGCTGAATTAATGGTTTTGATTCCCCCTGAGCGAATTATAAATGGTACAGCACATACTGTAAATATTGTGTATCAAACATTGGTACTGTAATCCCGTTATTTCACTGGTGCCCACTTTCAAAATGTAAGTTACGCATTTCCAATAGCTTTGTATGGGATTCAGTTTTTATGCTGTAGCTTAGGTTTAGACTTTCATCTCTTAATTATGCAGCTTTTATTTTGATAAACTCATGTCTTAAACTATATTCTTTTGTCATAAGCTCATTAATTTTGATATTATTAAAATTCGTTTAATGTAAGTAACGTGATGTGAATAAATATAAAATATAAAAAAAGTGAATATTTAAAAAAAAGTGAATAAACAAATAGACTAACTTTCTGTGGAGGAAAAATGTTTAATTAATGAGTAAGAAATGTATTATTAATTTAAGAACTTTAAATAAGATATATAATATATTACGAAATTTAAGCCACGTACTTTTAATTGTAACATACGTTCTTAGTGAAATACGTGGTGTCTTAGTATTAGATCTATAACTTTTCAGTTTTCGTTTACCTACCCCTTCTTAACGATTTGTAAACATTAACGGTAAAACCTGTCGAATTTGATGAAAGTTTTTTACGTTTCGAAAAGTTTAGTCAAATGAAGTTAAATGAAGTAAGTTAAATAATTTAAAAAACTATAATTGAATATTTAAAGTTAATAATAAATTGAATACTTCTAAGTTAATTTTAGTTTCTTTTATAAGATTAGTTTGTAGACAAGGAAATGTATTATAGGTTTAAGATTCTTTATATTTATGAGAAACAAACAATAAAATTGGTTATTTGATTTATATTCTGTGTTCTTATTCGTGGGGATTTATGGCATATAGGCCTACTGAGGAAACTGACCATATAAAAAAATCAGTTAACGCGCCAAAAGCGATACCTCTATAGTGGTGTAGAAATTCGCAGGTTTTTCAATAATATGAAAACGAAAAAAAAAACATATCTACATATATGTTCATATATTATTGGTTTATTTTGAACAAAAAAAGGAAGACGCATAACTATTTTCTAAAATCTCACATTTTCAAAAATTTTAAAGCAATAAAATATGTTTTTATAAGATTAAACTTTTGCGAACTCTGCAGAATAGAACATAATTTGAAAACTACATACATAAAACTTGCAATGCTTGCAATGCAAGCACACACGACTAGTTATATATATGTATATACATAGCTACTTCTCAGGTGTCAAAAAGTACGAGTACTTCTAGAAGGACTAGAGACATGGGACAAAAGGCATTAGATAGGGTTCTGCCTCTAGGGTCCCAGAAAAATCTGACACTCGAACTTTTTAGCCCTGAAATAGCTCTATTTTAAGATTTTCTGAAAAAATTTTTGTATAAAAAAAGCACGTTTTTCTTTTATACTTTTTATAATTAGAAACACAAACCAAAAATTAAATAATACGTTTTACGTTATTATTAGAAACACAAACCAAGATATGAATAATATTTGAAAATATAATGATGTCACATATTTTTGGTTCGAAAAATCGAAATAATTTTAACGTAAATAAATGTCAGCTTTTGTCAAAGACATCAGATGTTTTGTGGCATCTGAATATTAATGCTTCATTTGTTATTGTTTTGAATATTATGTTTCGTCAGCAAGCTTTAAAAAAATATACATACAGAATATGTGTACGTATGTACTTAAAATTTTATTTTTATTATTTCAAGCGAAAAACTGTAAAATGATAAATTTTAATACATCCATATGTACATACATATATTTGAATAACATTATAAGTTTGTTTTTGCCTAAACCTTTTCTTTATTTGAAAAATTACATTCATATGTACATACACATATTTGAATACAATTATTATTTTATTTTTGCCTAAACCTTTTCTTTATTTGAAAAATTTAATTCTATATGCTCACCCGCAGTTTTAAAAAAATAGGTATACATTCATAATTATGTAAGTTTGTGCTTAAAATTTTTGGCTAATTTTTTGAATAAAAAATTTTAAAATGTTCAATTCTAATACATTTATGTACATACATACATATATTTTAATAAAAATATTATTTTATTTATGCCTAAACTATAAAGAAAAGCTTTATTTGAAAAATTTATTTCCGTGTGTTACCCCTATAATTTAACAATTTTGTGTTTTTATATGCCCAAAAACAGTTTTGAATATTATTTAATTCATATAGAAAGTTTTTTTATTGGTGTGAAAAGAAAACTTCCTTTTATTCAGAATAAAATACTTTTTTTTTTTTTTTTATTTTTCGCTAATATATTTCGTGCGCTACATACGCACTTTATCAAAGCTGATTT